ACCCTTAGTTTTTTAACATCACTTTTAAAGAGCTTGAGTTTTCTACCTCAACTGCTTCTATTACCAATAGTAATAGTTGCACATACCCTTTTCAGAATTTTCATAAAGCTTCTACTGAAACATGAACATTTGTTTCAACATGTCACATGAAGTAGTCTTCACCATTCAAACATTGATTTCTACATGTTTATAAAGTGGTATTTATCTCTTGGGATCCGTGAGTGCGTTACCATACTACTTTGGGAACAGTATGACTGCATGTACTTTATAGGCATTATGTTGCTGTGGCACTATATGATTGTTTGTATAATAACCAATCACAATGAACACTATCAACATGAGTTATAGGATGAGAACAGCAAATGAAAGTTCTGGCAGGTCCTGGGCCCCAGCCCATAAAGGTTGGAGGTCCAGGAGCTTCCTAGGTCCCTTGAAGCCAGAGGGTTCTGCATATTCTCTGGTACATTCTGGGGCACTAAATATATATATTACTCACTGTTAGGATGATCAGTAAACACTGGACTTTGGACACTTTAACATATGTTCCAATATCAAACATTATATATCAGTTAACATACAAATTAGTAATTTCAGGAAATATTATGACAATACTTGTACAAATCAAGTACCATTAGAGCAAACTACCGAGTAATCATTTACAAGCAATCTTTCAAAAGACAGATATGGAATATAATGTATGTTCATGCCCATTCTACAACTTTTTTTTTTTTAATTATAAAGTAAACTGATGCATACTAGAATCTATATGCATTGTGATAACCATTTTTTCAGTAAATTTCAATAAGATAATAGCAGTTATGCAAGAAAATCAAGAGAAATATTGGTTGTAATTTTTTTTATGGTCTTATGAAATCTGCTGAACAGAACACATCTAACATTTAATTACAAAGATGTCTTACTATGTTATAAAATCTAACCGAAATAAACACTTATTTAGATGTTTTAATAGCAAATTGGTGACTTAATATTAGATGCTAAACATTATAAAATGAATGTAATTCTTTTTGAGGTCTATGAATTTTGCATTGTAGTACGTGACCAGATTCTTTGGATCAATGTAAAACAATAACATAACTTATGAGATCCTGTATAGCATATGAGACTGAAAATAATTTCAGAATCTGTCATATTTGTAACAAAAAATGTCCTTAATGATTTAAAACAATTTTGAGAATTTTGTTGCACACCCACTCCCTCAATTTCATAGGATCACATCTCTGTCTAATTAGGCTCCATTTACATGATTACACATATAAATGATGACAGATAAAAAACTGTCTATTCTGAGGAATAACATGCAAATGATGCAAAGTTCACAACAATAAAGTGAATGGCATAAGATTTAAAGCCTAGTTCTATGCTGGTCCTTTTCAACTGTCCAACAGTGCACTTTAAGAAGTCGGTGCATTTCTGAGGTACCTTTAGGTTCCAAAAAAAAATAATAAGAAGAGACGTTTTGTGATTGATCAGCTGGCTATCAATCAGCCTCACATATTAATTTAAGTTTAGCATAAGCATCAAAGCAGACAAGGCAATCCTTAGATTGAGTTTACTATTACTTGTGTTGTGCTGCAAGTACCTATTCCTGGAGGTATAACAAATCAAAGCAGTTGAGAAAGATGGACAGTTTATGTTTGGGGATAACATAGTGAGTATTTCTCACAATTACCACTACTGTTTATATATGTATGTCTAAAAGTCATTAAATTTGGGAGAGGGGGTAAAGGTTGTTTTTCATTCCATTTTTTAAACATATTTGAAAAGTTCATAAAAATATCATTAACAAACATAGGTTAAACATACGATTTAAAAGAAGCACAAAAATACAGCAGATTTTGTAAATTATTTTCCCATTTGAAAATTTATTTCAACAATCTCTGCTAGGAGTTTTTGTAAATATGAAATGCTCAATAAAGCACAAAGTTCTTTACTCTGATTACTTCAAACATTTACTGAATTAGATCCTATAGATCAGAAGCCACAACAGAGAGAAAAAAAATTAAACTCAACACTTTAAATTACATTTACCAGAGAATAAAGGTGCAGGTTTAGAGAGAGAGAGAGAGAGAAAAAACATAACCTCAACGCTTAAATTTATATATGCTACAAAATAAAGATGTAGGCTGAAAGAAAAAAATTAAATTCAACACTTAAACTTACCTACTGAGCCTTTCACATATACACTAAGAAGAAATGGTTATGCTACTGTTAGTCAAACACACATAATATACCTCTTGGTAGAATATACATCTATATAACAATCAAGAGGAACAAACCAAGGGACTTCATACATACAAAACTGAAAGTAAAAGACACTAAAGATAGTTAATTGTTCTATCTAATATATCTAAATTTTTTGTTTCAGAACACATACACAATTCCATTCATTATATTGGAAAATCACTAATTATTAATTATTTTTGTAAACAATTATATACAGAAATACCAAAATGGCCTATTTAAGGTTCCTATCAGCAGTTCAAAATCAACTTTCATTGTATAGAAACTTGCAATGATAATCAGCTCAGAATACATCACATAAACAATAGTTTACACTGATAAAATCATTTAACAAGTATATTTTATATTATGTATATCAAATTATTCAGAAATCGGAGACAACTGTGTGCACACACACACACACAAGTTACATGCGGCTGAATTGACTAACATAAACATAACATTTTGTAACTGATATAGTATATTAAAGTACTAATTTATCAATAACAACATTTAAATCATTTAGTATGTATTTATGTGTTGTTTCTGACAGAAGGCATAATTTTCTTTTCTAGTTAGTAAACTTTACGAGTACTTTACCATGCAGGTTACCTGTAACATTGTTTTTATTCCAGGTAAACACTGAAAACAAATCTGAGCCTGAAAATGTTTATAATTACATTTTATTGAATATAAAAACAAAACATAATTTCAAATACTATTTCTAACTTAGAAAGAAGTTAATGAACACTCAATTTCAGATTGCAAAAGGTTAATTAATCTAACATGCATGTTTTTAATCTCTACAATCTAATTTTATTACAAGTGATATCCTTCTATCTATTATATACACTTACAACTAACATAAATATATAACTAATTTTATTCATTGATTCTGTTAGGTTCTACTTGTCTAATGCTTTAGTTCTGAAGTTTTAATCGCTAACTAATAGTGAGAAAAAGTGATACTGTTTGGTATTCTTATTTGATGTTAATTCTTGTTTTAAAGTTTCAATAGCAGCTAATCATCTTTGATACAAGATTCTCAGATTACAGTACTGACAAAGAAGAAATATGCCAAATGTGTGAACAACCAATAACTTAGTGTGAATTTTCCTCACACACTTTTGTGCTTTTCATAACAAAAGAGGTATAAGGCTATTATAATTTGCAACTTGCAATGTTAAGGTATGGATAAATGAAACACATTTGCTTATACTGTATAATGAATTCCTTATTGTAACCAGGCTAGTACTGCAGTTTTCAACGGTATCAGCTCTCACTAGCGACACTACACCAGTGAAAGGAATGATAAACAAACTGTAGATTAATTTTATATACAAATCTTTGTGTTCTTTCGTATCAAAAGTCTGAGACTATACCATTTTTCACAGAAGTATAAATAGGAACTACAACTAGAAATATAAAGCTCATTTAGAAAACATTCTTTATCATTGGTCTATCCAAGTTGAAAAATACAAATCTGTTCACAGGAAAAGCAAACAGAAAGAGAGAAATTAGTGGATATATCACTGCATTCTACAATACATAGAAAAAGTGGATAATAGCTAATGGAAGATTAATGCAGACTATACATTAAAAAAGGCAAAAGTAAGAATCTTTTGAAGATCACCTTTGAGATTTTAGAAACATATTTATCAAGATCAGTATAGCTAAAATAGACATAGCATGATTACATAAATACTAATATAAAAATACAAATAGATGAGAATAGGATGTAAAGCCATGGAAAAATGTTTAAAAAGCCTGCTTCATTTTGTGCTTGACTAGCTTGGCTGGGTTGGTAAGAGTTTTTCAACAACTTATTCATATGTAAGAATCAAAAAGTTTTCTTATATAAGATGAAAGAACAGTGAGTGATACAAATCATCTTTTTAATAGTTGTGTAGGCATGCCACAATATTTCACCTTAATATAAAGAAATATACATTATTTTGGGTGAGACTGCTTAACTAATGTTAGTGGCTAACTTATTGACTTGAATTAAAGTATCTGAAATGGACATTTGTACAAATCAGCTCAACAGCCTATGTTACTATTCAATAGAGAATTTTAGTTATTAGCCTACAAAAGATTTTTACTTATATAAACAAATCCCTAGTAATAAAATGATTACAATAATCATAGCTGAAAGTTCTATTAATTAGTTGTAACTACTTGATATCAAAAAGCAGCTTTTACTTGTTGAGGGAGTCCATGGTGAAACAAGAGATTCAATTATGTCCAAGTGAAGCCTCTCACAGTTGATTGGAACATTAAACAATTTTATGCTCTGTTTTCTTGACAAATTGATGGATAGGAAATACATTAAAATAAGTCTAAACCAAGCTTCCACAACCAAAAAAAACCTTTAGGGACTTTTTTTTTTAAAGTTATGGAAACAACTAAAGCAAGTCACATTAAATATTTCACAGCTGACTGGAGTCATACATAATTATTTCTTTCTTTCTAGACAACTGCAATTGATCAAAGGTGCAGAAAACATTAAACCACTTTCAAGTTTCTTTAGATGACGAGAGCCCGCAAAAATTTATTTCTTAGTTGCTAGACAATCTTAACAGCCTATTACGATACAATGAGTTGACAGACATATGGTAATACAGGTTTATGAACTTTGTTAAGATTTACTGCATGGTTCTGTTATACATGATTTTCTGCTTTCATCACACTAATAAGTTGTGTTCACAAAGTTTTTTGAATTAAACAACAGGAATGCATTATGGCCATTCTATTTCATATAAATGTTCTGAAAGTATATTTATTGAAAAAAATCCTTTACATTCTGTTTATTTATAACATTAATAATAAGGACAACCATTTGCCCAGTGACCACGTCTTCCTGAAACAAGATAGAAAAAACAGAAAATTAGTAGATAAAACAGCAAGCAATAAAGTACAAACATGTTCAACTTTTAAAAGGAATAAAGTTAATTGCCCTGCATAACAACAATTTGCATACTAAAATGGTGATGAGTTGTCACAGATGTGAGATAGGGAATTCCTATGCAAGATGCTTAACACCTATATATTTTTTCATGGTAATTTTCAACCTTCAACAGTGCAACGCTACCATAGATTCTTATGGCTGGAGAAATATGATATTTCTGAAAATAAATGTTCATATAAAGAGACTGTTACATGACGTAGAACCAAAAGCCACATTGAAGAAGGGATATGTCAATGTTTTCAACCTTCAACAGTGCAACGCTACCATAGATTCTTATGGCTGGAGAAATATGCTATTTCTGAAAATAAATGTTCATATAAAGAGACTGTTACATGACGTAGAACCAAAAGCCACATTGAAGAAGGGATATGTCAATGTTTTCCACACAAGTAGAAAAGCTCACATAGAGAAGTGATTAGGACATCAAAAGGCTTCAAAAACTGTACCCAAGCCATTAAGAAATAATGCCCTCATTTTCAATGTAAAGGTTTGGTTACAAAAGATAACTGTTTTTCTGGAACTGCTTTGTATTTCTGATGGTAATTGATTGCTCTCTATGAAGTTCAGTAGAATTTTGATGTTGATTCTTTCATTAAGTTTTCCTATTGTAATGGTTAAGCTTATTGGTCAAGTTTTCTGGGTATTGTGGCAACATGTCAGGTTTGGATATCACAATCACTGAAGCTGTTTTCCATTTTGATGGTATGTTTTGAGATCATAAGACTAAGCTTAAAATGTTGGCTACCAGATGTGTATTTTTATTGATAACTTTTTTATGGCACATTTGGGATGTTATCCTAACCAAGGGAGTTGTTTTTTTATTGATTTGGTGGTATGTGTTATGTCATATATTATTATATAATTACGTTCATGAGTTGTGTTGTCTGATGTTTGTGTTATGTTAATGTCTACTAGAAATTTATTTGTGAACTTGTGTATATTTTCTTAGATTTAGTTATCTACTGATATTTTAAAGATATTATTTAAAGTGAGGTGATTTGGGGTGAGAATGTGTCTTTTAGGTGTTGTAGGAAATTTTTTTATTTTGTTCTGTTGTAGCTGCTTAGTTATAATAAAAAATTGTTTTGCATTTAATTGAATCTGCATATTGATTTAATGTTTGCCCAGAATAAGTTTGGGTTAATGTCACTATCTATGTAATTACCAAATTTTCCCAGTTATTTTGCTGCTGCTGTTTGATGAATTGCTTGACCTCTGCTAAGGTTTTATCACAATCCGTTTTAATTTGATTAGCCTTTGTTTGTATGTATTTCCTTCTTAGTTTCTTCTTTCCTTTTGTTCATTATTGCTTTGTTAATGTTTTAGTATAAATTACTGTTAGGTTTAATTTTCAGCATTAGTTTTTTTATGATTTCTGATATAGCTTTTGTGACATCAGTGGTGGTAAGTGCTCGGGTTAGTGGTTTGTTATTGTAATTTGTTGTCTAGTTCCTGGTTCAATATCTCAAATTTTGACAAGTTTTCAAGGTTTAACTTAAATGAAATTCAGCATTAAATTCTAGAGGGAGCAGTCAATCAGTTTCAACTAATTAGTTCTTTGAATTTTAATTGTAAGCTATAGTATTCATCAGTGTTCTTCATTTTTGAATTAGTGCTTTAATTTTACATAAAACTTAAGCAATTAAAATTTTCAATAGTATAGAGAATTGCATTTATTGTAAGCCAACACGTTTGGATACCAAAGACAAAACAAAAGTTTAGCAAAATCACTTGAACAAAAGTACTATCTTGGGTTTAAATTAATATTTACAATTAAGGCTATGTATTTACATTCACTTATTATCAGAATGGTAAAGATTTTTGTTGAAACTATTATTTTCTTAATTTTGCTTTTTCAACCTGAAAACAAGTCATAATTCCCTCAAAAATGTCCTTAAAATATTGTTGTGGCTTAAGCTTTAAAATATCTAGGTGTTTGTATTGTTGTCTACAGAGAGTTCTAGAATCAAATTGATGTAATGAGCATGTGAAATCTCAAATTTTTGGGAAAGTTGTAGACAGAATTGCAACAAAATGTATATAAGCACATCAACATTGTTTAAGGGGGTCACTGAGTTATTCGGTACAATGTCTTTAGAATTAGAATAAAGTACCCACAATCTATTGTGGGGCATCAATGTATGACCAAGCCCTTCCATTATTATCAATTACTTCCATAGCTATTGTAAGCAGGGATCCATATAATAATAAAAAGAAAAAATAGAACACTTGCCTGTGGTACCTGAGCATGTGTGCCGAGCTTGGTGCCATTAGCTTCTAAAAAGGAGTATGAGCACAGTTTTAAACACATTGCCCTAAGATCTGAAAACCTACTCGTAGACCCTCATCATGCCTCAGTAACATTCCAGTCATGTTTAGCCCTCCTTGGTTTGGGATATATATATATATCACATTAAGATACCCTTTTGCTACCCTGATTCCAATTGCCATCTTTGGCCCAAAACTGTGAGAGGAGTTTGCAGACAAATGAACAAATTCACACATAACATGAATTAATATGGTATACTGAAGTAACGTTTATAGTAACCAAGCATCATGGTAGATTAATCCTAGCTAGGAATTTTAAAATATGCTAACAACATATTTTTATTGAAAAAAAAAGTAAAATACGTTGGAATAAAACTTAAAAGTAGTTTTTATTTCAATGAGAAATTGAAGGACAAAAACTAAGGATTCTTTTTTTTAATTCCAGAAGTTTAGTTTCAAGGGACTCCCCTAAAAATCCAGTTTTGCAGGTCTGTATGAATCACACATTTGCTTCCATTACAATCAATGAAGCATAGTAATTTGCAAATCAGTATATTTTCATACAACAGATTAATTTTTCAGTATTTGAATTATATTAAAATACTGAGTACATCTCTCAATGCACACGATTATTTAACTCATTAGCAAGTAAAAAAAAAAGCAAGTTATCTTGCTAAGTTTCATCCTGCCACTAACAAACAAATTATTTAGATTTTCTCTAAGTGTGAACAATGGCAACATTGTTGATTTCATGTTTTTACATCATAGGTAAGTAAAATTTTAATATCCAGAAAATAAAATAAAAATAATTCCTTATAGAAAAGAAAATATTCGATTATGAAATATTATAGAATTAAATAAATAAATGAATGAGTTACATTTTTATTTACTTCTTCATAATGTACATTTTATAGTATTTGGGTCATTTTCCTAAAATGAGATTGAATGTATGGATTCTGTATGCTACTTACTTCATATGTTTGAATCGTGTTCTGTTTCACTGACATACATATATATCTGTGTGTGTGTGTGTGTGTGTACACACACGGGAGATGAAACTGGTACTTCAGATTCCATGAATATTGTACTGTTCTTCATTCACACCACACCACCAATTATGGCTTGTATGTGATGGATTGCATTTACAATTTCCATGATTAAGCTATTCATACACTTCTCAACTTCACATATTTTATCCCTGTGTAATTATTAAGACATCTAACAGCTACTTAACTTGAATTAGAAATGATTGTATTAAATAATTTCAAAGATCATTTTCACATAGAAACATACAGAACAAAAACTACTATTCCTAAAATATCACCATTTTCCAGTTATTTAACAAATGCTGTATGTTATCTAAAACTGACATGGTCTGCAATAACATGTGTATAAAAAAATTTACCACATACAACAATTATTTTCAATTATAAAACTCTACTATGTCCACATTCCACAAAAATGAAACTAAAAGACAAACATGGAATATTAAACCTAGAGTATAATATGGTTGCTCTAAATGAAATGAAGCTATATACATTAGCACCTAAAGGTGATCCTTAAAATTTTATAACTGAAAAAAAGAGAACACATTACCACAGTTGAAACAATGCCCATATCCACCATAGTATGCCCAAGAATCTCCAGAAACTGATGCATCTGAATCAGATCCCAAACTGTCACTGTCTGAGTCAGAGTCGCTGTCTGTGATGACAATAACAGAATGAGCCCCTACTGGTAATGCAGTTTCACCAGCAGTACTTTGTTGTGTTTTTCCTTTCTCTACAAAATAGCAAATTTCTGGTTACTTAAACTGACACTTTTAGTATTTTAAAGATAAAATTTGTTTGTTTCTTTCAGAATTTTGTGCAAATCTATATTAAAAACTATCTACAACTAGTCAACAGCATCTATTGCTAACTCTTGATTCACTGTTACCCTTATGGTGCTCTCACAGCCCAAAGTGCAAAGGGCAATTTTGTAACAACAGGATACAAACCTCAGATTTATAGTCCGGATAAGCTAGCCACATTCAGATCAAAGTAAAAACAAAATATCCAGTACAAAAGTAATTTTTCTTGCTAGTTTTATACCATTAAAATTATTTTAATCTTTTTTTAACATTTGCATTTGTTTCAAAATATGGACCTCTAGTTAGAGTTTAAGGAATCATGCCTCAAATTTAATATACCTTATTATCACTGTTAGTTTTACCTCTTAAAAACTTTAAAAATCTGTACACAAACAGTTAATTTCAAGACTTATTTTAAAAAGATCACATAATCAGTAACAAAAACATCTAATAAATTCTTGCCTTCCATAAATAGTTATTTCAGAATGCATAACAAAGAAACCGACATTAAGGTATACATATCTAAATGGGACAGAATGTATTATTGAATACTTACAAAAAAAAACTGTACAAAAATTTTGTACACAAATAAATAGTTTTGGACATACTTATTCAGATATATATTATTTTATCCATGACAACTATGTTTAAAATGTATTCACTAAGGAAACAAAAGTAATACTGTATACTGAATTTTGCTGCATATGAAAATATTAAAATTTCAGTAACTAAGGTTTTTAAATACTTTTTCCTTTCCTCTATTCAATTCAGTACAGATTTGATAATGTGTATAAAGTTGATTTAGTTATGTATTAAATGTATAGTTTTGTCACAGAACAATATCTGGGTTTTAAATAGTATAGAATGAATGGACACTGGAAACCAACATGCTTTCTAAAAGGCGGCACCATCATACAGTGGATGAGTGCAGACCACCAGGCACTTGTCCAATTGCCTAGTGAGCCAGTCTGCCTTTGCATGTCAGACTGTATGACTGGTTATCTAGCACTTGTGTCACATAAAAACAAACCAAAGGGAGCAACTGACATTACTTAATAACAGTAGTTGTGTCTTATCATAACCTGGACATGGAAAACTGATTATCCATTAACTTTCTTGAGCAGTATATTTCTCGTTTGAACTTCATACAGATAATAATAAAGATAAAATTATATATGGCTTACTGTATAGAATAGGCATAGCTGTTTACTAGTTTTAGAATGATATATTGATAATGTTAGTAGATAAAAGAAAGCTTCAAATTAAATTCATTAGAGCACATGTATAAAAACATACATAATCAAGAAACATAAGCGACTTTTGAGATGGATCTAATCTAATTAACACACTGCAATATATTTAATATAATTATTATAATATTTTAGATACACTGATTAAAGTGTTTTATCTTTCTCACAACAACTGAAGTTGCTTGAAACCTGCTTAAAAACAGTGCTTAAATTTTTAAAGAAAATTCAATCAAAACCCAAGACAAGAGGACAAGAGATACATTCTATAATATCCTTTTATAATATTTTTTAATTGTTCATTCTTCCAATATTTAATTGTACAATAAATATACTTTTTGCTTCTCGTTCTTTCAAGATGGTATTTCTTCTTTCTTGAAGCTGGGGATTGAGTTTGGTAACCATACTATCAATAAAACTATCTACAACTAGAGCTTTGGTCTGAGAAACAATGCGAGTGCGACAAATTGGACACTCCTTTTTCTTCTTCTTCCATTCTTCAATACAGCTTCTGCAGAAGGTATGTGAACACTGAAGAGTTGTTGCCTATTGAAAGTTAAAGCATTTGAATCATTAATGGATACTCATGTCAAAATCATAAAGGTTAAAAATAAAAAAGAAACAAACAAAAAATATGCTTAAAACAAGCAACAATGTCAAGTTTAATACATGTACAAACATCTGCCTTAAAACAATTTACCATAACTGTCAAATTTATCATCAACATTTCATTTCACAGATTTACTCTACCATGAAAATATCACGTTTAATATCAACATCTTCCTCACACAGATTAACTCTACTATAATAATATCAAACTTAACATTAACATCTACATGTTACAGGTTAACTGTACTATAATAATATCAAACTTAACATCAACATCTACATGTTACAGATTAACTCTACTATAATAATATCAAACTTAACATTAACATCTACATGTTACAGATTAACTCTACTATAACAATATCAAACTTAACATTAACATCTACATGTTACAGATTAACTCTACTATAACAATATCAAACTTAACATTAACATCTACATGTTACAGATTAACTCTACTATAACAATATCAAACTTAACATTAACATCTACATGTTACAGATTAACTCTACTATAACAATATCAAACTTAACATTAACATCTACATGTTACAGATTAACTCTACTATAATAATATCAAACTTAACATCAACATCTACATGTTACAGATTAACTCTACTATAATAATATCAAACTTAACATCAACATCTACATGTTACAGATTAACTCTACTATAACAATATCAAACTTATCAACATCTACATGTTACAGATTAACTCTACTATAACAATATCAAACTTAACATCAACATCTACATGTTACAGATTAACTCTACTATAACAATATCAAACTTAACATCAGCATCTACATGTTACAGATTAACTCTACTATAACAATATAACAGAAAAATATGGTAAGCAAGATCTCAAGGACATTGAAATGGCGAGACCATTACTCTAGAGCCAGATCCCAGAAAATGTTCCACAATTTAGGAGCTACTTATGCCTATGTTAGCAATTGAATTCAGTTACAATTGGAATGAGCAATGAAAAGAGGAAGTATTATGGGAGAAAAAGTGGAATTGGACTCCTGTAACTCACAAAATTCAGAGAAATTGAGCATGATTGACTGACTGACCAACTGACACTTAGCTTTTATGATTGTGGTTACTCTGGTTATTTTGGTGTATTAAGTTCACTGTGTTACCACAACTTTGAAACTTGATTAGTTTACATACACGTATGTGTTACAACTAGTTACGTTACATAAGTAAGAAATAGTTCATTGAGCTGTAGGTCATTAAAGAAGGAGAATAAGAGGTATTACTACCGAGAATTTGGCTTGAAAATACTATAGTATATCTTTAATATAATAGTATTATTTTGAACCTTAACATCCACGATTCAATAGCTGTTTACAGTTTCAAAATATTTTTGACCATTTTGGGGGGTGGAAACCTATTTCAGAGGATAAGTTATATTTATTATCTCTAGTGGTCTGATATAATTGATGTGTTTTTATTCTTTTTTTTCTAAGCAGATATGTTTCCACAATTGCTGCAAACAGTGAAAGGAAGCATTCACTTAAGATGTTGTGGGCTTTTGGCACTTTCATCTGCTGCTACTGCTTTTATATATATACCAGGTAAGGCATGCAAATTGAGGCTAAATCTGGTAGGTGATGTATCCTTATCCTACTTTTTGCAGACACCTCTTATAATTCCTTACCTATAATTTATAACTTGATGTTATTGTTTGTGTTGCCAATCCTACTGCATTTGTTTGAGCCTGTTCTTCATAGTTTAAACACACACATGTACGTTATATACATATTCATATAAGCACATATAAATAAATAAAAAAAATAATTATAGTTTTAATAATTGAATTTAATTCAAAACTGCACACTTTATTTTTTTGTCCATAAATTTGCCATATTTAATTAACTCTTTTTTTGTTTGATATTTACATTATTCACTACAATTTTACTCATCTGATGATGATCAGAAAACAATTTTTCTTCTTCTTTTGGATTATTTAAAGTATTTTAGCCACTGGAAGAAAAAAAGTCAACTAGGGTGGTATGACAAGTCAATATAATGTTAAAAAAGTAGTTTGTTTTGGAATAGAAGGCTACAAGATAGCACAACTATTATTTTAAGTGTCAGCACCTACTGGAAAGAATAACCTCCTTATGTTTCATATATACTCACCTCAACGAAGAGCTCCGAACAGATGGAACACATCAGCTCATTTTCAACAAGGTCACTAAACTGGTTTTGAACGTCTTTTTTGGCTTTTTCTTGCTCTGACCTCAATTCTTGTAACTGTTTCTCTAACAGTTGTGTTTTAACTTCTTTTTCTGCCAACTCCTTGTATAAAATGATATAACCATAAAAATCAGTTTCATAATATCTTACAAACTGTTTTATAACAGAAATCAATATCAACAATCTCAACCCTTGATAATGTTAACTCAAACAATAGTAAAGAAATACATAAAACTGACTTTAAAATGCTGCATAGTTATTTTCAGCTATGTTATTTAACAGATAACAATTTTTAGTTTGCGTAACACCTAAAGTTATAGAGTATTAAAAAATATTTAAACATGATTGAGTCCAACTTAGATTTATAATCCCAAAACCAGATCTGGAAATAATGATTTTGTTTTCGTTAAACATGGCTCAGATTAAATATTCACCACTTGTGATCTATTAGCAGAAGCCTAATAAATAAGTTCAGTAACCAAAAGTAGCATACCATGTACCACATAGCAAATTTTGGAACTATTTCCAAGATAAACTATGATCAAATATTTATGAAATAATCAATAACAGCCAGTAATATGTCTACAAAAAAAGGACCATAAACACAACTAACCTTATTCATATAATAACATTTAAAAACTACTGCTGTTTAATTACAAAAAAAAATATTTTTTTTAAACATCTGCTTACTTAAATAAACCCAAATATGATGCAAATGAAATTGTGATTAGCGGCACTGTACTGTGTTAAGACTAGTTAATTACATCTCAACACTTTGATACTATTTTTAAGCATCATATTGCTCAGTACATAAAAGTAGGTTAATAAACATCAGGACTTTACAATTTTTTTGTCTCTTTTAGTTTTTCTGGTATGGCATCAGTGTTGAAACAGCCTATGGTTACATACATTCATTATGATAGAACCACACAATATATAACATTTTTTACTGATGTATAATCTCCACTCTATTCATTTCGTCACTATTTTTCATTTGCCCAAACTGTGAAAAAAAAACATTTTGCTTTTGCTTAAAGGAAAACTTATCACACATGGCAAATGTTTAATTTGAATTGTAACTAAGAAAATAAAAATGGATAAGGTGAAGTGTAGTAGCTTAAGTTTAAGCTATACAAATAATAATAAAATAAAAAAAAGAAACTCATAATTTAGCAGAACTGAAAACTAGCCATACAACTGTAAATATTGAATTTTCATAAATTCTTAATTATTGCTTATCTTTTGCTTTATTCAACTTCTGGAATTCTTAATTTTAATAGAGATATTTGAAAGACATCTAATGAAACTCCTAGCCTTTACTGTAGTGTTCTTTAATACAAGAGGATAATCAGCTGGTGGTGGATTCAACATATTTCTTCACAGTGGTTGCATTTAATGCACAATTGTGCATCCTGGATGTAAAAAAATAACTCATTTTGCATTCCCTGGCTCCATAAAAATGAGAAAGGGACACAACAGTAAAGTAAGATAAGGAGATTGATTCTTATGAAGGAAGGGCCAATGTATAACATTAAACTAAACACAAGATCAAAACCTTCACTAATGAAAACAGGTACATGTTCTGACTTTAAGTATGCACTTGTTACATGAATGAGGGTACAATGGACATTTTTTTTCTACAGCTACATCTGACCTTTTAAGTGCATAATAACACTGAGAATATTTTACCCCGTTAAAATGTATAATTTTTGCTTCTTTTTTTTACTCTTTAATTTTTGAATTTATATTTTAGTTGATGTTCAATATAGGTTTTAAGATGACCCAACAATACCTATTTTGTAATTTAGTTCTGGGATCTATGTTTTAGATCAATCATGAAACAAGTTATACAACTGATAAAATCCAGACTCAGTACTTACTTCTTTATACAAACAGTTAAAGTTGAAAATTGATTTGTATCAAGTTTGATTTGTAACCTGTAGAATTGTTGTGTTAATAAAAATTACTTTAGATAATAGTTTTAAACAAAATTCTGTCTTATTTCATATAATTCTGGAACTGGTTTTAATTGAAATATTTTTTTTATTTTCTTAATAGTTAGATTTATTTATTTTATTTGAATTCAGGTTTGAATAAAAAGTAAATAAAAGTAAAAAGTAAAAAAGATGAGATGTTACTCCTCCAAGTTGAACCAACCAACCCAAATGTGCTGTCTCCCGAAGGAGGAGAAGACGATGGCTGTAAGAGGCTTGTTGGGACAAAGCCAAATGAAAAAAAGAAGCATTTGAGATGTCCATCTTGGTCATCCTAAGTCCTGGGGCAAAAAAATACCATAAAGTGAGAAATTCCTCGTAGGAAAATGAGGGAAGAAAAGAAACCGAATGAGACATGAAAGTAAGACTCAACTCCTATCTATATATTCCCTGGGAAACACAAAAATATGAGAAGAAAAACCTGGAAAAGGATGAGAAAGCCACCCAACAGCAATTGTAGCCATTATGACTAACATTACCACAAACCTTGGAGGAAGTTAAATAATGGGAACAGGAGACATTGGAGAAGGAGAGTTAAAAACAAAGGTTAAGGCTCTCTGACAGAAATCCCAGTACTCAACAGTTAGCCTCAAACAGAGGGCAAAGGTTCATAAACCAAATGAAATAGGTTCTAGTAACCTTGAGCCTATAAAACAGTTACCACTAAGACTGACAGTGCCAAAGTCTCTGAGTGGTAGAAGGATGAATGGCACGAGGAAGGGGAAGTGGTAACAGAGAGAGGTGAAGAAGGAGCAGGAGATATGGAAAACCACTAAGGATACAGCAAAATCAGTGGCATGTAGCCCTAACATATAACATCAGAGAAACAAGCATACCAGTAAATTATACAGGTGGATGAAAGGAGCCAGCAGAAAGCCTAAGAGATATAAGAAAGACAAAAGCAATCGAGTAACAAGGGCATCACACCACAACTAACTCTAGCAAAAGATCAACCAAATAAGAAGTAAAAATGTTGAAGAAGAAAAACACACCATTGTGGAAAAGAAGTGAATGAGCATTTGTGAAAAACCCCACAGGAGAATGTTGGATTACCAACAAAAGAATATTAAAGAAAGAAAAATAATGAAAAAAACAGTAGTGGGTGTAAGATGAAGTTAGGAAAACCTAAGCCTAAATAACACAAACTAAAATCAGAAGATCTGATCCCCTTGGTTTGAAAATATCCCAGAGTTTAGGTGTCAAACATAAGCAATACAGCACGAAATCATGCTTAGTAATATGGGATAACAAAGGAAGGAAGACAGGGCATGCATGCTCCAAAGTAGTGGGTAAAAATACTTGAATATGTAAACAAAACATACCTAAGAAACCTAGTCATGAAATCACGAAAAAAAAGCTGAGGCATAATCAAAACAATATGTGTATGAGACAAAGGTAGGTGGGAAAACAAAAAAGTAAAACCTCTTCCATCATGAATGAGAAGCATAAGCAAAGGTATATCAGGGACAAAAGAAAGCTCAGACTGCATGAAAGACTACACCACCCACTGCACAAAAGCTATCACTTCTCCAAAGACAAACCTAACACCAATGTAGTTGATAGATTTGCGAGAACAAAGTTGTGTCATTAGACACCAGCCAACGTGGAAGTTACTGACTCTGAAAATTTCATGAGTGAAAAAAATACACATCATGATACACAAGTGCCAAATTGAAAAGTGATGGTAATGCTCTACAGTATAAAGGGAAATCAGCTGTGCTAGGAGGGTGTGTCACATTCCTTTTGGTGAAGGAAATATACTAATTTACATGCTACAGTGCAGCTATACTAGGTGTAATCACATGAGGGTAGGTGGGAGCATCAAGGCTAGTGATGAGCAAAAATTGCACATATAGATGGCGGCTATTATGTGTAAGGTAAGGCACTGTATTGGAAAAAGTATTATTTTCTCAGTAGAAAAATGGATCAATAACAATTTGGCATGGGTCAACTGATGAAACTGACAGTAATCATGCCTGTAAAAATACATAATTGCTATATTTTTATTTCTTCATTCTCACACTAAACCAGACTGCAAATTAAAGTAGCATTATGATAAGATTACGTGGGTAACATCAGATATTAATCATCTTATTAATGAAATATTAATCCACTTTAGACACTATTTATCAGTGAACAATGAAAGTTTTAAGTACAGATGAATTTTAGTCTTTTGATTATATATCAAGACACAGAGCAGTGTGTCATGCACCCAAAACAACCTGCTGCAGGACATACTGTGTGTTATTAAGAGGAGTGACAGTTTAGCGATTTTCTACCTACTGCATCTCAGACTGTGGTAATCCAAACTGTCACATATTTTCAGTGAATGTGCTCTACTGGATTTACTTCACATACCAAATTTCAAGGCAATCCATTAAGAAATACTGGAGATATAGCATCTCCAATTTCGATTGAGTTTCTTCCTCTCTTTTTTCTTCACAACAAAAGTATGGAAATTTTATTTGACATAAAAACATACTTAACTTTTATGGATTTTTTTAAATTTGGTACATTGATAGATCTTTTCAACCTACATTTAGGAGTCTCATTTGGTATAAGTCACATGTGCAAAGTTATTAAACAAATTATTAAATTTTGATGAAAACTTTGGTGCATGCCTACGCAAAAAGTCACCTGAGCTATCGGTCTAACATTTTTATTACAGCTTCACCTAAGATTAAAAGTGGACCATTTTTAATTTTTTGTCATTTGGATTAAAGACAGCTGATTTAGAGCAGCAAATCTATAAGGTGAAAGGACGTGCAGATACATAAGAATTGGTTAGGCCAAGCAAACTAGATTAACAGTTTGTAGCTCAAGTTTTCAAAACAATCATACTGGTGGATGGTTATTATTGATTATTCATTGCCAACTTTTCATTACATATTGATTAAATTTTATGAAATTATCCTATTTAAAGAGAGTTTATTTTATTTTACCCACCATCATGCCCCAAGTCGAACAAAAATGTGGCCTGGCTAACTAATGTATGAGTATTTCTGTAAAACTTTTATCAATGCTGTAAGTGTAGCTACTAGTTTGGCTACCAATTTTGATGTCATTCCTATCAGTCTCACACTCAATCCTTTTTTGGTCACACAGTTTTTATTAGATTCCTTATTGTATTATATTTAGTTATCATAAGACATGACTGAGGTGACATTTTCGTTTTTGGTCAGATAGCAGTGACAGCTGGTATTTCCGAGCCTGCAAAGTCAGTCATGTGCTATAGTACAAACAAATGTGAAATTTGACAGCAATTTCAGTCTTCTATAGTAAAGAAAGATATAAAATTTTAAATTTTTGTGGGAACGTTAAATATAAAAGAAATGAAAACTGTATTTCTTAATGCCATATTAAATACTCTGTATTATAAATATCCTTGAATTTATTTATTTAGAGATAAAATGTTATATTATTTTAATTCTAGCTGCTATTGACAGTATGTTCCCCTATACAGCCATGTAAGTTTATAATATTCTATCATTGTGAGGAAAGGGTATTTCCTTTTCAAACTTCCCCAGTGTTTAACCAGTTTCAAGCTTCTTATAACTAATGAAATATTAAAGTGTCTTTGTTTTTTGACCTAGAAGTGGTAGAGCTGTTTATCTATAAATGTGGAAGTGAAAGAGTTAAGGAAAATAATTATCTTGTGTGCTTGGGAAATAGCACCTTTTTTCTTGGAAAAAGATACTTGAATGTGGCTTGAAAGCAACTTGTAGAATAACTCATCATAATTACTTTATGCAGAAGGAAGCAGGTATGTGCAGTCCTGCTTATATAATATATAAAGGTGTTATTTTGCATCCAAAAAGATAAACCTTTACCACTTATATCAGTGTTGTAACAATATGTTCCTACATTTTACAAACCCAATAAAATGAAATTCATTTATTTCATAAGCTTCTTAATAGGAACACTTCACTTGAAATGTTTAATAAAAGAAGCAAGTTATTACAATTTCTTATGTAGTAAATGCTCCAATCACTCAAATTTATTATCACTGACCCTTAAAGAGGATTAAAAAAGAATAAGTTTATTTGTTTGCTTTAGTGTAAAGCTATCTACAAGGAGCTATCTACACCCTGTCCACCATAGGGAATCAAACCCCAGATTTAGCATCATAAATCTATATACTTACTGTTGACCTACCAAGGGACAATAACAACAAGAAACATCTGTGTAACACAGTAGTAGTACATGCACTTATAAAGTAAGTCTCATGAATTTATTGAAATAAACTATAATGTTTCCTCACCTTCTGTACCATTTCATGCTCTTTTTTCAACCTCTCTTGTACATCTTTGTCTTTCTCTTCTAAATGTTCAGCAAGGATTTTCTCTGAATAGTCTCTCTCATCTAACAGCACCTTCTGCTGAACGGCCAGTTCTTCTTCTAATTGTTTTTCATTGGTGGATAACCTTTCTTTTGCATTTTTCTTTAGACCCTCTTCAAGCTGTTCTCTTTCTTCGATTACTTTTTCCTGAAGTAACCAAAAATGAACTCTCAAATCTACCTGTTTTACTGAATAACCAAAATTGATTATTATCAAAAGGAAGAAAAAGTAAATACTTACACTGCTGGTTCATATACTGTGCTCAATACAAGAGTTTAAAGTTTCTACAATAAAGTTTTTTCCTTCTGAAAATTACAATGTACGTCTACAACATAAGGCTATGAGGTAAAGTCACTTAGTAATCACTATCTCAAGTTTCAAGTGGCACCAGTGATATAAATAGTTTTCTAATAAACTGAGAAAGTGCTAATGGAAGGTAATTTACTAACACTTCTTTGTCAATAATTACTATATTTCAAAAAATCTTCAACCCTTTGCACTTAGCCAGGTATTAAACTTTTGTTCATCTTTGTTATAACTTACACAAAAGTGTAATTTAGAATTACTAAAACTGATACATCAATTATTGCTCACATCAAAAGTTCACAAAAATAAAAAATAAAATAACATCACCTAAAATTTAAAAGTCATTGACATACACTAAAGAAACTAAGTAAAACAAACAGAAAATCTAGTTTTGGTGCAGGATTTTTTCAAGAAAAGGAAGATTAAACTGATATTCTGAGATTAAATATAAAAGAGAATGCACCTGTTTGTCCACAGAAATACAACTTGAAGTTGAAGAGAAGAAGAAAGTTAACTGGTTACTGAAGTCTGGTCATTCTACAGTATTAAAATAATGGAAGCCTTTCCTGTTAATTTTTAGAACCAGACTGTAAAACAACCATAGAAATATTTGAAAGTTATAATTTTCCTAAACTGAAAATGTATTTCCAAACTTACTTGCCTCCGCTGACACTAATAGCTATTTCTCGATCATTATTTTTGCCATCTAATGTTGTGTTTGCTTGCTCCAGTCTTTATATACCCCACTCGACTGCCCTCAGCAATATCAAATTTGCAGAACTTTATGCCGGCCCTCACTTGCCCTCTATGCAGGTACTGTATATAAGCACTGTATGCAGACAATAAAATCACTTTTTCGAGACTTACCTCATTCCGGTCACTAACACTGGCTGTTAGTGGGGACGAAGGGAGGGAGAGTGTCAGCAGAGGTAAGTATGTTTGGAAATATATTTTCAGTTTAGGAAAATGATAACTTCCACAACATACATACCTCCACTGACACTAATAGCTAGAATCCCACACTGAGAAGACAGAGGAGTCGGTGAGGAAAGATCATACAGAAAGCATCTGCAGAGAACAAATATGTACCATGAGGTAGTGGTAGCAATGTGGGGAACACCACACAACATACAGAACAGGTATGCTCTTTACCCAGAACTACAGAAAATTTAAAAGGGTGGAATATAATACAAGTATGATGGTCTAGCCCCGACCAAACAGCCGAGGTTCCACAACTCGGGTTGGATTTAAGGGGTCATGGCACCCATATCCGACACTGGTAGCCAGGGAAGTTGGACTGCAGATATATATATACATATATATATATCTTTGTGATAGGATCCCTACCAGTAACCACAGAATGATACGTTTTGAACCACCAGATTTATGAAAGAAAGAAAGCAACACCAAAATGAACAATCCATCTGATTAACCTGAAGAAGTCCAAAAGGCAACATCCCAGGTCTGGATTGATGGGATCATATGCCATACTCCACCAAAGTCCAGAACTCTTACAGTCTGTATTTACAAACAGTTGTCTTTACTCCCCACCAAGTGAGCAAGGAGGATTCTGCTTACCCATGGAATTATGGAGAGGATGTGGAACACTGTCCCACCAAGGACCAAAAATGGGACTGTGTCGTGTTTGGATTTAAGAGGAGATAGAGGACCCCCTGCATGAACAACATAAGACTTGACAGTGTTCATAAGAGGGTCCAAGAACCAAGTGCCAAATCTGGAATGGTTTTACGAGTAGGCTCCCAAGTAGGTTGGTCCTGTTTCTTCTGACATCTGGGAAAAAACTTCCAGGGACCAAGGTAGGAAGGTCCCCAACTTCGTCCTCTTCTCCAAAGGTGGAGAAAATTCAACACTCTGAAGGAAAATCCTCTATCCACCACCTCAGCAACTGGAAACTGGGTGTGGTAAAGAGTCCTGAGCTCCACTAGTAGAAGTAAGGGGCGAACATAAGTGCTGGGGAGTCATGAGGAACAGGTCTCCGAAGACAGTGCATCAAGTGATCCATGTTCCCTAATTTTAAAAGCAAACTGATCTCAACTGATTCAGCTCTAAGATCAACAGGGACTGGCAAATCCCCTTTAGCTTTACTCATGATAGTCCATGAGTAGCAGTCCATTAGAAATATAGTAATATGATATCACCATCTAGAATTGCATCCAGATGGTCTTATAGAACACCTCATCTCGACAGTGCCTATTGCAACCAGGAACTGATATAAAGGTTGGTAGTGCAGAATTTAAATACAAGCATACCCGACTGGGCAACACTCGCCACTGAGTGGGATCCAAAAGAAATCAAAAGGGATCCTAGAAGAGAAAAGAACAATAACTGTAAGACAGATAACACGTTACTCACCTCCCTGTTAAAATCTAGTGGAGGTAGTCAACACAGCCACTGGAGGAAGATGAAATACCATCGAAGAGGAAACCGCCATATCGTGAAGGTAATGAGATATGAACATATTGGGAGAAGTCCACATACTGGCCCGCAAAATATCTTCTAGAGATCAGTTGAACTGGGCAGCCAAAGACATCTAAAGGTGTCAAATCTGGTGAGAGGTGAAGTGGAGCATATTGCAATTGTTAACAGATAAGCCCTTAATAGGCAATATGGATCAACTTCCAAAGCCATCTGGTTAAAGTAACAGGTGATAAATCCCTGGACACTACAGGATCCCAATGAATATAAAGTCTGTTCCAAGGGCCTTGAAATGGTTCCATACAAGCCACATAACATCTGAGTGTCCTGATGGGAAATAACAAATGATTTGGGTCTGATCTACAGTAAAGATTAGAAATGCTAGGTAAATGAATAGAAGAAAAATATTTGTTTCCTTCTCTGGCAGCGAGAGCTTTTGGAATAAATGACTGGTCAGGATAGAGCAAAATGTAGGTAGAATGATAGAGTCTGCTGAACATGAAAGGCAAATAAATCAGAACAACGACGTCCAGAAGCTAACAGCAATAAAAAATAAACTTTGAGGGAAAGTTTATATAATGAACAGGAGGTCATGGGTTCAAAGGAATGACGTGGTAAAGCATGTAAAACAACCCTAATTTCCCATTGTTGTCTTTTTTGTAATTATCATTTATTTATTTTATTAATAATTCAGTGGTTTATACATATATTTTAATATTTCTTTATAATGTTTTCTCTTAATAATATTATTGAATATATTTCTGCCACATGTTTTATCACACATTATGTTGCTTTGTTACTTTTTAAATCTGTGTTTTTTCTAAACTATTGGTTGTGTAAACTTTTTCTTAATAGCCAATGTTGTTTTTATAGTTATAATGTTTTGAATTCACTCTACAATTACAGTTACCCCTGTTAAAGATGCAGTGGTTTATACATATATTTTAATATTTCTTTATAATGTTTTCTCTTAATAATATTATTAAATATATTTCTGTCACATGTTTCATCACACATTCTGTTGCTTTGTTACTTTTTAAATCTGTGTTTTTTCTTTAACTGTTAGTTGTGTAAAAACTTTATGCTTAATAGCCAATGTTATTTTTTGTAGTTATAATGTTGTGAATTAACCCTACAATTACAGTTACCCCTGTACTGCGTATGCCACAAGATTTTACCTTGTTACATTCAAAATTTAATTAAACAATTTTACTATCAATGTATACCAATGAAATTAGCATTAAAAATTACATTATAGTTCAAAGTTTTATATTATCTAAGTTTTAATTCCTTTATTTCTAAAGAAAACCTAAAGAAAAATTCTTAAACTTCAGTTAGTTACTTCACAAAGTTTTAATGTTTGGCCTTTTTTTTTAAAGTTGAGAAGGACTTGAATACACTTAACCTTCTATATATATAGAAAGAATCTTCTAGGTTAATTGCTCTGTTTACATATTCTCTTTTCAAGTTCCTTAACGGATGTTGGGAGAAAATAGAAATTTCTTGGAACTCTTAACAGATGCCATGCCCATTCTTTATGCATACAATTGTGATTTCTCAGCCAATTATACTTAGTTGAGTTAGATGTTTGTAACCAATAGAAAGCCACATTTTGAAATAATATTTCCCAACAGTTATTTTAAAATTGGTGCAAAGAATTCCATAGAGATCTTGTCAAACTCTCTTCACATTGTTGCTGTTTGTGTCATCGCTAGCACTTTAGCATTATTTCTGTTAGTTAGATAGACAATTAAATTTTATTTAGGTTTTAGTTTTATATTTTAGTTAATGATATGACAGTTATGTTTCAAAATACATATTAGAAAGGTTTAATATTTTTTTAAAATATAAGCTAAACTGCCTCATTTTATCAGGCTTAGTGTAGTAGGCAAATGTCCTAATGTTCTGACGACAGCTAAAGTCTCGCTGCCAAGGACACCTGGAGAGCACCAATTGACGTGTCCAATAAGTAATAATGCTAAAGGATAGGAAAGGAAAAAAAACATAAAAAATAAACTTTTTATGGAAAAGTAAAAACATACAATTAAGAATATAAACTAAGAAGACTTTCAAGATAATTTGAAGTAAAATTAAAAGGTCTGTAAGTTTTCTATTTTTAAGTTGAAACATTTCACTGCACAATATGTTGATTATATTGACTGAAATATTCAGTCTGAGTGCAAATAACAAGAATACAAAATTAAATTTTTAATTAAAATATTTAACTAAAGCAACCTCATTCTTTGCATACAAAACACTTCTACTCTTTTAACAAAATCTTACCAATTGCTGTGAAGATATATTAAGAAAGCTCAAAGTCGTTATAAGTATTGTTGAACTGTGTATCATTCTCCATATGAGAAGTATGCCAAATAGGTTCAAACCATAACCACAGAGTTAACTTCATGAGATTAAAAGTGATGATGGAGTTTGAAAAAATACTGAAATGTTTGTAATTGAAGATGTTTTTAGTATTATTGTGTTTCTAACATTTCCTGTGGTTTTTTTCGTCATCTTTTTCTCCAACAATTACAAATGTGTACCACTCCTTTATTTCTGGGCCAGTTGTCTTGAAACTTAGAGGGCACATATATTAATCAAATACATCTAAACACCTCTTATAAATTTTATGGTTTAAATCTCTTTTCTGATTTTAAGGGATCAAAGGTCCAAATCACAAACATATTTTTAGCATGCAGTTTCCTTATATTTACATCATCATCATCATCAATTAAAATGAAAGTTGGTAAAAAGATACATTGCAACCAAAAATTACATTTAAAGTTATTGCCACTGATAATAAATCTACTCACACAGAAACTGACTGTTCTATGTATTATAAAGTCACAATTTAGTATGCTCCAATATAACTTTCTCACGAAGTCTCAAGTTGACACCATATTAAGTGTCCAACCTTCTGAAGTATGTATGTTGTAGTTCATATATACTGTATATATGAACTACACATATACTGTATTATGAGTATCTTACCAAATAAGGTATATAGGGTGAAACATATTACAATTGCTTGCAAATGTTGACCTTTATCGTTTATTCTACACTTTTATAATAAATTTTTCTTTTCAAAAGTTATTGAATATACAAAATAATCTACCTGTTTTTTCTTGAGTTTCCTCTGAAGTTGTTGTTCTGTTGTCTGTAGCTGCTGTTCCAAATCTTTCCTTATCTCATTTTGTTTTTTCAAAAGTTGTTCCAGTTCTTCAAGTTTCTTTTGGAGGGTTTCCTGCTCTTTACTCACACATTCACATTCTCTAACCCCAGTAAGTTCCACACTTTTTTCAAGTAAGACTGTGGAAGTAGGTGCATTTTTATATTCTTTATTGATCTTCTGATCAACTTGTTTTGGCTGATAATCAAGTGAAACACTGTTGACTACAGTTTCTGACCGTCTACACTTGTTTTCAGTGCACAAACTAGAAATGTCAGATTCTTTCAAACTGTTGTGATCAATATTTTGAGCACTGTTTAGTTTGTCAGAGCTACTATAAACTTGATTCTTAGTTAATTCAAAAGGATTTTCTTGCTCATTATTTCTGTCTTCTTTACTACAAGGTCCAGCTGAAGGAGTTGGTGAAACCTCAATAGATGAGGTATTAAGTCCTACTAGGCCAGTGACTTCACGCTGCACATATATATATATATATGAAAAATAATACAATCATCAAGTGTGAATAAATACAATCTTTTACTATTATACTTTATATTTTGTATTTAAAAACAAGGATGAATGAGGAAAATACAATATTATTTTTCCTTACATACTTATCTGTAAGATGGTCATTAATAAACATTCTTTCTAGCTTCACATAAGTACTCAAAACTAGTTCCCAACTCAGAAACAAAACCAAAGTATTCTAACATACCATGTCAAAGAAATGACAGAAACTTGGAAGGATTTTTAGTCAACATCAGGTACACATACAATGAGTATAACATCCTTTTCTTAGATACTCTTTAAGGTACTGAATATCCTAAAACAATCATAGCATCACAAGTTGGAGTAGTTACTTGAAAAATAATCTTTAGAGAAAATAAATTTGTAACAAGACAAAAAATCCTCATTGAAAAGATCAAGAATAAACATTTCTCTCAAATTGTATTGTCAGTTTACTCAACAGAAACATTTGAAAAACTTCTTTTACTTGTGGGCACCAAGGTAATTGAGCAAACAATCTAAACTGCACAAGAAGTTGAGAAAAACCTATGGAAAGCTTTTAACTCATCACAGAGTTCAAGAAATATGGCTAGGAATAGAAAATTAAGTACAAAAGGCTTGATGAAATCATAACAAGCAATCAAGTGTCTTTTAGTTTAATATATATATAATTAGATATTTTTATAGGAAACTTAAAGTATAATATAAAAATTACAGCAGTTTCACACCAACAAAGTGAAAAAATTTGAATAAGATTTCATATTAAATTGGTTTATTGGAATTTTTCATAACAAGTAAGAATTTACCAAAAATGTTTTCATTTACTGCAACATTAAGTGATTATTAACTACAAACCATGCATTAATGTATTCCAAAATGAAAAAAAAAAAAAAATGTTTTGGCTTTTATTTGTGTCAGTCTGAAAATGTTACTGCTTGTTATTCTGCTTTATAACATGAAAATGTTTCATAAGTGACTATAAAGTTGAGCTATATTTCCCTTTGTTCTCTATCAAATTTTACATAACAAAATAGAAATAAAGAAATTTGATGAAGCATTGGAAAATATAGGACATTTAATGACTTGTGGTAATACTCAAGTATTATTAATACCATTAGAAAGTTCTCAAAATTTTCTGTTAAATGGTAGTTTGTGTTTGTATATTTAGTGACTACAGAATTTTAAATCAGTTTCAGCTTATACAGAAATCTTGCATTCAACTGACTTCATTCTCTACAATGGACAGGTTAAAATGAAGTAGCTCCAAAAGTTGGTATCTTTTATCCTTCACTGTAAGAAGTGGATTAATGAATATATAAATAAACAGGTAGGTGGCAGGATGTATTTAGTCATCATGAACTGTACTGTGTATTGTATGTAAAAAATATCAAGAGGTTAAAAAACTTCATGCAACATTAAACTTGTGATTTATTGTTATAAAAAATCATTTATAAACAATCCTGTGTCTTTTTTATGGTACTTTCAATCAAAAAATTATTGTGGGTATCCTGAATATGACATACAATGATTAATTAACAGTGACCAAAAGTGTACCGTATTTTTCGGTGTATAAGACACACTTTTTTACCTTAAAAATGTGATGTCAAAATCTGCTTGCGTCCTATACACCGAAGGTATGAATAATATATATATGTATATATATATACAATATACACAAGCCATGTGTAAATATATTTAAATAGGCATGCATAGTTTAGTTCAATTGAATGTGTTATTTTTAACAAT